ATAAATTACATCTGTGTAATCGCTTCTGTACGCTCAGAAGATAAGGAAGGATCCGATCGATAAACTTTTGGGAAATTAGCAAGCACACAAAATTACCTTTCCGTTGGACTCTACTAAAAAAATCCCCAGGCTGAGTATTGCACACTGACTCGAGCCTTCCAGGCAAAACCCAGCATGTGGCTCATGTGTTGGGCACAGCCTGAGAAGCTTTTTAACCTACAAGGCACTGTCATAATTAAATGCTCGCTTACTGTCGAAAAGTCATCGGAATTCACCAGAGAGCGTGCAAGGTTTAGATGAATGGACCCACCAAGCTGACTTCGTCGGACGGGCATTCCCTTCAAGGCCGCCAGACAAAAAGCGCGCCCTTGTTTGAAGGTCACTAGGGCCATTGTGTACTTGAGTAGGTAGCCAAAATGTTGGAAACTTGGTTCAGTAACTTATCGATTCTCATGACGCATTCGCGTTCCGGAAAAGCAACGGAAGTAAAAACAGAACTTCCCTGCACATGACGCTGAGCCTTAGCGGTATTTATACCGTACGACCGAAATTAGTCCTTTTTCCTGCAAATCTGCCAACGAATTGTCTTTATGTTTAATCTGTTTAAGCAGTTAACTCGTGTCGTCCCGTTGGTTGTTTTCACTGCCAGATAGCGCTCCATTTCTGCAGTGTGCCATCATAGTCACAATTGTGAGCCAGCTTATTGCAGACTGCGGCTATCGGTGAACCAAAAACAAATGTGATAGAGACGGATGTCCATTGAATGGTAACCGAGGCGTTCGATATCACAAAAACCATGCATGGTGACATCTTAATTATATGGATTCACTAGATGATCGGAAGAACTGATCATCCAACTCTCACTAACCGTTTGTCCGCACCAACTGCCTCTATCTTAAGTGTGTTAAATATTTCACAAACAGTGAAACAGTAAACCAGTTCCCTACGTCCAAATCAGAGCAACCAGCGCAAATATTTCAATTTATTCACAACACCCGAGGAGATTATGGTGCTCCTTTTGAGGGCTTAATGGTGTTAACACGGAAAATGTGGTGGACTGGTCGAAAGTCGACAAGGAAATTTCCCCTCTGAATTAAAACCCAGGGTTATTCGTCACGTGTCCGTTGGCTGCGAAGGAAGTGATCCAGTGTATCAACATGGCATCCAATACCACCATGGCTTCACCAGTGGACATGTGCATGAAAAGTTTCAGGATGATCATCTGGAGCGTCGTATTCCAGAATATCAACGCCAACGATACTGGAAAAGTTGTTCGTGGTGGCTTCCTAAATAACCATAGTACGATTGTCCTCACACGGAATGGCCCCTAGGAAATAAAATGGAGCAAAAACCTGGCTTTAAGCCGCATTTTCTTCTACGGCTACCGTAAGGAGGTGCTTAGTCCGGGATCTCAGTATGCAAAAAAGCCTTCACGATGATCAAGTATAAGTTCGAGGATCGACGTCTGGAGGCGCGAATACTATGTAACATTGGTTCCAAAGAGAAGGCGCAAAACGGGTTTTCCTTGATAATTGGTTGATTGGAAACTTATGAACAGCACGACGGTATTGGTGAACTCTTGGGCCCCCAATGGGAGGCTGATCTAACTGGCTGCGACGCCAGAGTTCAGCTTCTAAACAACTTTGGTGAAATTATCGTGTACCAGCAACAGTGCTGCTTCGGCTGAGACAAAACTCGCAAGACAGAGTGTACAACAATCATGGAATTATCGTTGTTTATTTACACAACGGATGCCAGAGGCGCCACGGTGAAGCAAACTGAAGTCAGCGTCCGAGTATTTCACCTTATGGGGCGGGTTATTAGCGGACAACCGATCGGACATTTTGCATCGCGGCTTACCAGATTCGTTAAACTGGGCGCCTGAGCCTCATTAAGTAACTAGCACCTAGGCGAACGGACTAACGGCTAGCCAAAAGTATTTGGTGTATTCTGGAATCAAATATTTTTCAAAAGAAATCTACAGGAGACACAGAAGACGGGCCAGCACTTCGTAACGCACAGTAGAAGTTTAAAACAGAACCCCGTCGGTGAAGCACATGTGAAGAGGCCTCGGTACCAGGCCGTGTCCCGAAAATGAGAAGTGTAGTTTTCAGGTGAATGAGACACCCGAAAACAAACAAACCAAACGCTTTATCCCTGAGAACGAGGAAAATTGAATCCACGAGTGAATCAGTAAATGTGTCATGAGTCCACGGGTAACACTATGCATGCCTTAATTTAGTCTCAGCAAATACATCAAATGCCACTTAGCAAAGCACAACTGCGAACAGCTTATGGCCAACTTAATCTTCACGCAGGGGCTGTTCTTAACTCTCGGACAAAACAACCCCCCTTTAAGGATGAGGTGAAGGTTACACAGTGATTTTGAAAGCAAAGTAGCTCATAATGACAATATGCTTCTATGTGATGCCTCATCATTCGGCCAAAGAAAACGAACTTACTCCTGCTTGGTGGGAAGCAACTGAGACGCAAATCTACGACCGCTTATCCCCGGCAGCTACAGGTCTGTGAATCCCACCAGCATAACGTGCAAGCTGACGGATATTATTCTAAAGCGATCCGTTTAATTGGTTTCTCTGCAAACTTCAACCCACGGCGCCACATGGTTCCTTATATGCCGTTACAACGCGAAGAACATGTTAACATTTACCGAGATCCCAATCAGAACAAAAGTCAAAGGACTCTTATCATATACTATGTTTTGGTAATTCTCAGAAGCATTTGACATATTTCCGCACGATACATTATCAGTAAAACGAAGTCCTACAAGTTAGAACGGCCCGAGAGAAAGCCGTCTTAACCTATCCCTTTCGAAAAGTTATGGTGGCAATCGGTAAATTTATTGCTAGGCAACGTTGCCCTTTTGACACAAGCCCCATCGGGCCAAGTGACTAGGTTCCGAGGTTGGTCGAGATTTAAGGCAAAAGGAGAATCAACTTTCCTTTCTTCCGCGCTCACTAAAGCTCATCAAGGCTCCGTTTTGGAAGTACCCCAAATAAGTTTTCAAGTCCACACCTACTTCTGTGAATGACTTAATATCTTGAATTTACAACCCCACCTCCCGAGAATGAACGTCAGTGTCACAAAGCAGTGAGCATTGGACTGGCACCTTCACTGAAATGTGAAAATTGCTTTCACACACCCTCCTTGGAGCACTATTGGACGCCATTGTTGCGCGCGTCGTGGCTAAACCAGCAGACATTAGGAAGACGAATACCAAAAAGTATTTTGATATCCGTCGTTCGCAAAACCTGTCTTTCTCACTTAGCCATCAAAATCGGTTCAAAGGGCATGCCGCGTTCCACTGATGAGTCGTCACGGCCTTTTTGTGTCTTGCATGAAATTACACACTTGAGAAGTTCGGTTGTTCCAGGCCTGCAAAACAAGACCGAATGTCTTACACTCTACAACGCATCTAATTATTCTGTTGTTTTGCGTTGATAAACAAAGATGCTCACATTCTGAGACGCTTGATGCCGGTAAATTCCATGTATCTCCGATGATATAATTCACAGTTTACGAATACAACCAGTGAATTTAGGCATCGCATACGTGCCCGAAGGAGTAGACAGACAAAAGAGATCCACCCACAGTCTACCTCATTGTTTTATGGGAGCGTACGTTCATTAATAGGATGGAAAATTTGTTGCCGTTTGATTGCTCATGGATGAAAGTTAACAGCACCAAGATGATGCGGTCTCCACACAAACGTGGTTTTTTCCACTCATTTTCCATCGCTTCATTGCAATTCCACTTCGAAAATGTCAGCGAGAACACGCCCTTTTCGTTCTGTTGCTTGCTAGAGACTGTAGCCCACAAGCAGCTCATAAACTTTTCGTTAATTAGACGGAAGTTTCCCCATACAACCTTGCATTTTGTCTCATAGCATTATTCTAAATTGGAAACGTTTTTCGGGGGCCTACAAAAGTACGTTCTCAGGAATTTAGCTTTGCTTCATGCCTATGTTGACAGCCTTTGAAATTCCTCCACTTCTGTATGTTTTTTGGCAATTCTCCATCGGATTCATTGGATTTTGATGCGAAGACGCTCACATCTGCAACGCCATAGGTGCCCATAGTTAACATATTCCTTTGTTATACAGCCAGGCCGCAGCTCAACGTTGGGAAAAGGGACAGGCTTGATACCGAGCCAATGGATGCTCAAAACATTGACTGCCTTTGGACCATTAACGTCCTGTTGCCGTAGAAAATGCTTCATGAAGGTTTACACGAAACACTGAAAAATGGTAATGGCAGGTAGAAATTCATTTGCTGTTACAGGAGTGAGCCACAGGTGACTACGTACTTCTTTAAAGTCCAACTAGATAAATGACCACATCCTCACCTGGTCCTTGAGTTGTCTTGTTCAGAAGCATTTCGGATAGCCAGAATCAGACCGGTTCTTTCGTCCTGTGTCAACAAACTTATTTTTAGTCCATCGAACTTAGACTATAGTAGCCAGCTTTGGAGGGGGTCCGTTGCGTGGGTGGGTACTTAGAGAGCAACGTTTTTTGACGGTTGTCTCAGAATAGGACATAATAAATCCGGTAGGGTGAAAATAGCATATTCGAGCACCTAAATCGGCCTAGTATCCCAATCTAGATAATGCCACACGTCACACCCATGGTTTTCCGTCGCAAGTTTAGTTTTAGCAACTTCATTCCCAAACACCTCCCCCGCAACCTGAGCGGTAAAGAACTTCTACCTCAAAGTGACATCTACGCGCAACCGAACAGTAAACGGAAAGCCTGGAAAAACGATCCTTCGCACGTGCGTTTTATTGGTTCAGCCTGTTCAGTAAGTGCAAAAATATACGAGGTGGTTGTATTTTGTTTTATTTTAGTTGAATCCCCTGCATTTTCCTCTGGTGAAGTCAGCTCAATTAGCCTGCGTGTTCAAACGTAGGATCACCTCCGGTACCAAGTTTGAGTGGCGGTAGGCATCGCTTTAGTAGATTCTCTAATGCGCGGCACAGGAACCCAAGCCGAAGTAAATTGCCCGCTGTGCTGTGATGTAGCAAACCTATCTCACATATGTTGTCTGATTCCACTTTGCATCCAGATAACTCCATTATTTATCCATTTAATCGCCACTTGAATTGTCAGATCCACCAGCCAAGGCTGCTATCGTAGACAATGACAATCAGGTTGCTTGTCATGGATTTGCTCACAGAATTTTTGCCTCCAAAATTTATAAGATTTCTCGGTTGCCAATTCTATCCATCGCTTGTCGTTAGCCTGCTGTGTCGTCGAGACAAGGCTTGCTTCTAGAAACGGCATTGTATGTAGGCCTGTTTGTTTGTGAGCTCCCAAAAGATGTATGCTAAGGACACGGAAGGCGGACTGCGGGAGTAATGTTCTGTTGAAAGAAGT